GTACATATGTAAATTCTAAACATGTTAGCTGGCCACGTCCTAGACGCCCAGCTTTCTTGTATACAGGATCTGGCATCCAGACGTTTTAACTGCCACATAGTAATAATTACGGTATTAATAATAATAATGATATGATGAAAGCAATTATGTAAAAATATATAAAAGTTTCCAACGCACTTGACGCTTTTTCTATTCCAAACACCTCTAGTCTCATGCACACCCCACCCTGGTGTGTTTGTGGCAGAAATCGTAAGAATCTTGTTAACACTCCATAAACAGCAATCTTCACTTCGGAGTTCCTGTCATCATTTCCTCTTAGAAACTTGAACTAAATGAATAGTCACATGTCATCAATAAATTTTTTTCGAAAATTTAAAAAAATAGCAGGGTATAAAAATATAAACAGTGCAGATACCATAAGATCAACATTTAATAGGAAAAGATTTCGATGTCATTTTAACTGTAAGATATTCTATATTGTCAGACTTAATAATCCATGTTATACTAATTTTCTAAATGTACACTGGCACTTTTTTGAGCATTTATGTCTCATGCTGTATTTCCTATATACCTTGACTTGTCCACCTTCCTTGTAGTCTGTCCAAGTTGTTTCATCAGTGGATATTTGTAGTGTGTAGTCCTTCACCCACTGATCTGCTTGAGAATTTCCTTGAGTAGACACAGCACAGATGATATGAAGTTATTTTAGATCAATCTGTAGATATGGGTTAGTGTCACTAGTTTCTGCACACCATGATGATCCTGATGTGTAGTTCAGTCGACCATTCGTGGCTGGAGTGCCGGCACTTTGTTCAGTAGAGGCAGTTATGTCACTATTTGGAATTTTCCCACTTCCCACTCCAAGATTTAAATCAACACAGGCTCCTACAAAAAAAAATACGTTTGCATTTAACATAATCATAACAATGATTGTAACAGGGATAATGAGTTGGATGTGGGAAGCACGTGGATGTCTTTAATCTTTTTATAAATCACCTCTGATAAAAAGTTCACGTCACAGATAGTTAACAACTATTTACCGAAGTGGTGGTCGATGGTGGTAAACAGGAAAGTAAATTAACTCTTCTATACCTGCAAAGAAAACAATATTTTCTGGGGCAAGTTGCTCGGAGGTGAATTGGAAAGGATAGTCGGAGTTTGAGTCTCCATCAGTGCCCATCTTCAACGCTATCCACAAATTAGTATATACTAATAATATATAATAATATATAGTGCTGGTATCCCTCCTACAGTAGACAATAGCCACAAAAAAATCTGCCGCGCATGAAATATCGTTTCTTTACAAGTCAAGCCTAAAAGAACTTAACAGAAAGTTTGGATCGTTCATTGCGGCCATTTCCTTACTGCTTATATTTTGCCTGTTCCACAGTGTATTACCGTGGCATATTTTTCACGTTATCATGACCTTATTCAGTTAAATGACATTGTACTAGAATAATTGTTTTATTAAAAATTCTCCCAAGAAATTANGTTTTAAATTGGGCTATGTTAATTTCTAATTTCTGTTTGTTCGTCAGTTTGAATTTCACCCTTTGATGCTTTGTTGTAC